TTGCATTTTTTCCTAAACAAGAACATCCCATATAAAAAAGAAAAATGCCGACAAAGAAAAGTGTAATTTCTACGTCAGTGAATATTTTGCATTACCTGTACATATAGTGACAAGTTATTGTTTCTCATTTTATTTGTTACTTGTACACAATTGAATAGAATTGATTGTGGTCACAGGTAGTTCGTGATAATATTCCTAGTGACTCGTGTCTCTTAATAAAACTCTACATAGTAGCTCATTATTTAAATTAATATCAAAAAAGGAAAGAGCTCATGTTTCAAAATTAGCAATTAATTTACATACATGCCGTTTGTTTTCTACGTGTGTTTTATACATACATATATAATGAGTTTATAAAATAGGGAAAACGACGATACGTTTGAAAATTAGAAAATATTTACAAATACTTTTGGCTAAAATATTGCGCGATACAGACAATTCGGTTTGTTTTAAATCGAGTAGATGTCAATGTTTAAAATTCCTATCTATAACTATCTATCTATAACAATAATAATCCTCACAGTGTCTAAATCGTTTCCGCATTCTTATTCCACTGTTGATAACTATGTTTTTTAAACATTATACCTACGGTAGTTAGAAAATTGCTGCATCATTAAGTGGTACCTAACACCTCATGCTACAGGATCTAACCTAAAATCACTTCGAAGACGTTGCTGAACTTAGCAATTATTTTTGTTCGTGTTTTTGTAAAGCATGTCGTGATCTCATAAAACTACAGGATTACTGTAGTTAAAGTCGAATCAGCAAATATTTAGTATTCCATTCACACTTTGCAACGGCTAAAGTGTATTAAAATTCGAAAGAGGACAAACGTTTCGTGTTTAAATTTCAAGAGAACACTTGATGTTAATTATACAAAACACACCCAGCGTTTGGACGCATTTTGACGATTTTGTCATTTGGTTTTTGTTATTTTTTATTACACCTATAAAAAGGAACGCAGTATTGGGTAGCACTTGTGCTTTCTGCTATAGGTATAACTACAGAACAAAGTTAAAGGATTTTAGGTGTTATCGGCGAATGATGAGGATAAAGGTTAGAAATTAAGAGATATTAGAAAAAATAGGAGAACAGAGGACTCAATGGACGTCAATAAAAAATAGGCGAGATAGGTTGATAGGACACCTTCTCAGGCATGAAGGTCTATCAGACCCATATTAGAGGTAGAAATGGGAGTTAGGAGGGGTAGAGGTAGACTTAGATTAGATTACTGTTAGCAAATAGTTAAGGATGTGGGATGTCCTAGTTTTAGGGAAATGCAAAGTTTAAATCAGGATAGGAAAGAGTGGAGGTGCGTAAAAGTCTTAGGACTGACGACCTTATGGTGATGATGAAGCTAAGAAACCAAATGACTAATCCTAATTTAGAGTCAAGTCTTAAACTAAAAACTACTAGTTATATACCGGTTAAACCAAAACGTTATAGAAAAAACGGGAGGTAGGAGAGGTAAAGGTAGATCTAGATTAGATTACTGTTCGCAAATAGATAGAAGAAGGATGTGAGTTGTTTTAGTTTTAGGGAAATGCGAAAATTAGCTCAGGATAGGAAGGAGTGGAGGTGCGTGTCCAACCAATCTTAGGACTGACGATCTTATGATGAAGAACCTTAGATTATAAGTTTACTAAAATAACAGTTAAATATTATAAATTCGGGTTCACTTTATATTGTGTATTGTGGTAGTTTTCTTTGAATTTTCTTCTTTTTATTCCCTTGTTCTCTAACAACGATATTTCCATTTCTCTTACCCGAATTCTTACTCAATATTTGAGTATTTGGTAATAACATATTTCGGTTCATTTTTCCAATATGGCGGCTAAAGGCAGTTTTACACTGCCAAGAAAAGACAATTATTAAGGGATACTGACTGCTGGGAACAAGAAATTATGGGCATGATACCATAAATTGTTTTTCATTTGAATTTTTATTAATTTTCTTTGGAGCAGCAATAATAAATAATCAAAGGCTGGGGTTCAGTTTACAATTATAGCAGGAAAAGACAAAATTCAACGTTGTACTTATACCGTCTGAAATCATGATTTGAAATTGTAAGGGTTAATAACAATGGCGATATGACTGTAATATACGTGAAACCGATGTCTTCGAAACAAAAATTAAAAAGTTTTACGGTAGAGCAGACGTTTCTTTTTAACTCTATTGGAACATACTCGTAACAGTTTGCATTTAAGAAGTTCATATTATTGAAGTTTGACTATACATATAATCTCTTAAAATTAATTATAAACCCAGCATGTAATGCTGTGACGCTCTAATTAATTACTGTAAAATTCGTTATTGTTCCGGGCGTATTGCAACATGATGGCACCGTGAAAAAAAGTTTATTTAGGTTTGTTCGAATTTAGCAAACTTGCCGTTAGAATTCTTCGATTTAGTTGCACAGTTGAGTATAACATTAAGAAAAAGTGATTCACTATTAACAACGACATGTTGAGGTCAACTTCCGCTTAAAATGGATTAGACTGTGACCTCCATGCGGTTAAAATATCTTCTGTATGCGAGTCAAGAAGACATTTCTAGTTGCACATTGCACATGCAATTAATGCTGTTAGTAACAATGGCAAAATTCATCACATAAAAAAAATAAAGTACCAACTATAGATGGGCGCTTTAAACTGCAATAATGTGTAGAAATTTCGTTTTTTGCAAGTTCAAATTCCGGAGATTGAGAGAAGGTGACATTTTTGGTACTTGCAGTCTTCATTGTAAATTTTCTTTTTTTCGAACTTTTGGTTTTGGTAGATAATATTTTGGGGCACTTACTTCTTTATAATTCCACACTTTTTTTCTAAAACTAGCAAGGTCTAGTGCCAAATATTAACTCTTTTATATTCGAGACGACGAGAGAAACACCCTGTACAATGGCCATTAATTAGCATAATAAATCGCGACTGGCGATATCCTTGAGCTCCCTAGCGATTTTCATTTTTTTTTTCTTGCAGAATTTTCTTCGTTGGTAAGTCGAAAACAAAAACACAGCCGCCATGGACGCGATCAAGAAGAAAATGCAAGCTATGAAGCTTGAAAAAGACAACGCTTTAGATCGCGCAGCGTACAACGAGCAGCTGGCCAAAGATGCTAATCTACGCGCTGAAAAGGTAATTTGTTTTGATTAATTAATTGTACAGATAACTGGTGTGGGCTGTACGAGAAAGGTGTATTGTAATAATCAATAAATAATTAATTATCCACATTTGCATATCGCTAAATCTATTAGATACTGTTGCAATGTTGATCAATGCTGACGTAAATGATTACCATGTTTGATTTTCAAAATTGTGTAAAAATATTTTTAGAACAAAACCATGCAAATGTAAGAGAAACGGAATAATTTTATTTAGTTGCTTAATAAAAAAGAAAAATCACTTTAATACAAGATAGACAACCTGAGATCTAGATAAAATTGGGTCTTCCTGGAGTAAGATTTCACTGAAAAGCGTCCCAAAGGAACACTACATTTTTGGCCGGAATACCCCAAATTGTGCAATAAATTCAGGTAGCTCATCTCGGACGACAAAGATGCATTAGAATGATTTTTCTTCTCTAATTACAAGCTTATAAAAGGCAATCCACCTATCGTAGGAATTTTTATTACCTACATTTAGTTGTCCATTGTTTTGTGTTGATCCGTATAATTAATTAACAAGTGTGTTACAACATAATTAAAGGTCACTTATATGTTATAAGTTGTACGTACTTGTTTCAGGCCGAAGAAGAAGCCCGCTCTCTCCAGAAAAAGATCCAACAGATTGAGAACGACCTTGACCAAACCCAAGAACAACTGACTCAGGTCAACACCAAACTTGAAGAGAAAGATAAGGCTTTGCAAAATGTGAGTAGATTTATTCTTGAACCTGTTTTTACCATAGTTATACCATACGAGTTTTATAATGCATAAATTTTCGACAAGTGAATGTAAAAGTTAAGAAAGATTTGTTCTCAGACATGAATTGTGACGTAATGTTGTCGAAATAATCAATAATATTACTTTTTATTGTAGCAGATTGATTATTGATAACAAATTGCATAAAATTCAATTAAATTAATGATAATAACACGAGTGACAAATTTGTAATTTAATTCGTTTTAAGAGGGAAAAACTGTTTATTTATTCCTTTTAAATGTAACAATTTTAGCGACAAAATAGAATGTTTCTTTATCTTGATGATCTAATTTAGATTCAACAAAATAAACAACGTTGGTTTTAGTCTTTATTCAATTGTTTAATGTTTGACAGAAGTGATTTAAGAAACGACATTTTGTAACCTATTTTCTACGTAAATGATACGTAATGTACAAAAATATTGTTCTCTTCATTTGTGGAACATGTAATTTTAACAATTGACACAGTTCCATTGCTCAAACTGTTCTACAGTGACGGATATTGAGTAAAAACGTATTTTGGGTCCATTTTTTCCAATATGGCGGTTAAAGGCAGTTTTACACTGCCTGGAAAGGGCATGCAATTTGTTTGACNAATATGAAGATTGGAAAAACTTTGGCGGTTGTTGTAGAACAAACAGAATAGCTCAAAACCCCAACGCCAAAACACGACACTGAAGTTGTCCGAAGCACTTTTCGGTAACAAAGTTACCTTCTTCAGGGACTGAAGTAAACTAAGATAGGAGACGAAAAAGTGGCTGATTTTAGGTTTCTAGGAAGTCAGAACGGAAGGAGTAATTGGGATATAAAGCAGAGGATAGCGCAGGGTCAAGTCGCCTTCAATAAAAAGAAGTCACTTCTTTGCTCCCAAACGGTTAATTTAGAAATTCGAAAAAGATTCTTAAAGGTGTATGTCTGGAGAGCGGCGCTGTACGGGTACGAAACATGGACGATGGGCGCGGCGGAAAAGAAACGGTTAGAAGCGTTCGAAATGTGGTGTTACAGGCGAATGATGAGGATACCGTGGATAGAGAAGGTTAGAAATGCAGAGGTATTAGAAGGAATACGAGAACAATGGACTCTATGGAAGTCAATAAAAAATAGGTGAGATAGGTTGGTAGGACACCTTCTCAGGCATGAAGGTCTAGTCAGAGACATATTAGAAGCAGAAACATGAGTTAAGAGAAGTAGAGATATGTTCTTGTTTTAGGAAAATGCGAAGATTAGCTCAGGATAGGAAGAAGTGGAGGTACGTGTCCAACCAGTCCACTGACGACCTTTTGGTGATGACACACTGCAATTTATTGTAAGATTGTTTCAATAATCGGAAGGTATCATAATTTTTGTAAAAATTGTTTCTCAAGAATTACTGTACAAATTTTGACGAGGTTTACAGTATCATCGTAAAAGCAATTGAGAAAAACTGAGTCAGTCAAAAGCTAGATTTGAAAACTTGGTTCAATTTCCAAGTGAGAATACATGCAAATTCTGCAATAATAGTAAGGATTATTAAAAACAATGAATTGTTTCCTTCCCTTATTGAAAATTTCAATTGTCTTTTACATTGTATGAATGGGTCACGGTCAGGAAAATGTATTTTAATCCGATTGCTTACAGTACGGATTTCTGCCATTTTAATGCTCTACTTTAATTTTCATTAACGTTGAGTAAGATTAGTGAAAAGTACCCTTGTACATTATGAAAGAATCTGGAAACTTTTTAATCTTTCTCCACGATACGCTTTTCTTTCTTTCTCTAATACACCCTTTAATTTGTCTCTAATTATTTTTAATGAGGCCCGATGTTAAAGCAAATTCCGCATGCATTTAGTCCATTTTAACCTAGCTACTTAATATTAGGGATCTTGTGGAAGCACGCAAATTATTTTTCATTACAAACATATACTTACGCAGAACCACAGGACATTATGGTATGTATGGTGAATGAGCACTTCAGCTTATAATTACCAGAGATGTGATTTATTTGAAACAGTTGCATTTAAAATGCAAATACAAGATCTTGCAGTTAAACACTTTTTTGAGAAAACCATTTTGTATTTCATTTAAAATACTTTTCCAAATGTATTTTCTATTTGTAAAATGCAAAATACATTTTTGCACATTTACCATTGAACGTATTTGAAGCTTAAACAGGGGACAAAGAGACATTCAATGAATGGCTTCTAATTCTTTAACCAAAGAGAGGCCAAAAAATTCTTGGAAATGGATAATCTAAAATAATTAATCGATATTGTTTTCCGGATTCAATGTCATGGTCTATGAAATTTTGAAGTTCCAATTGATATCAGCACCTGCCAAATCACCACTTATCTTACCTTTGGCAAGGAACTACGAAATTCTATGAATTACGACAAAACAACCCGCAAAACAATATCGAATTGGTATACGCCAGCTGTCTAAAACTGAAAACTGTAAGATATTGTGATGTACTAATGAATGCGTATAATCTAAAATTCTTAGAAAATGATTAGAAAAATTTTACTTATTAGATGAACCCAAAGCTAAAGAAACTATAGATTCCATTTTTTTCTCTTGTTAAAAGATCAGAAACAAAATGGGGCTGTAAATATTTTGATATAAAATTATTGGTGTTTTACATCAATTAACACCCCTATTTGGGTAAAGAAACTGTTTTGGCATCAGTGTCTTTTTTCCAATTAAAACAGGTGACAAAGGCAAAGAGAAAGCGTATACAAGAATTATTTGTTACTGAACTAAACAAAATACAACATAAAGATAGAAAAACTATATCTCAATCACATCAAACAGAAAAATATGAATTATCTCAATCTTCGCAGCGGCTGATATAGTGCAAACACACCACTATTAGTCTAGAAAAACTCCAATATTTAAAAATCGAGCAAATGCCTGTAATTTTTCTTAAAAAATATTTTATACTTAGGTAAATGTAGGAAATTAAAATGGCTACCACAAAAAAGTATTTATTTGATAAAAGTATTTTGAAAATACGTATTTTGTACTTAGAATTGAAAATACAAAAGGGAAATCTATTTTGTATTTTACATTTGAAATAACAAATTAAAAAATTATTTGCATTTGTATTTAACAAAACATTTTGCACATCTTTAGTCCTAACAGGCATCTATTCTGAGGTAATCTTTGCATTTTTTCCTAAACAAGAACATCCCATATAAAAAAGAAAAATGCCGACAAAGAAAAGTGTAATTTCTACGTCAGTGAATATTTTGCATTACCTGTACATATAGTGACAAGTTATTGTTTCTCATTTTATTTGTTACTTGTACACAATTGAATAGAATTGATTGTGGTCACAGGTAGTTCGTGATAATATTCCTAGTGACTCGTGTCTCTTAATAAAACTCTACATAGTAGCTCATTATTTAAATTAATATCAAAAAAGGAAAGAGCTCATGTTTCAAAATTAGCAATTAATTTACATACATGCCGTTTGTTTTCTACGTGTGTTTTATACATACATATATAATGAGTTTATAAAATAGGGAAAACGACGATACGTTTGAAAATTAGAAAATATTTACAAATACTTTTGGCTAAAATATTGCGCGATACAGACAATTCGGTTTGTTTTAAATCGAGTAGATGTCAATGTTTAAAATTCCTATCTATAACTATCTATCTATAACAATAATAATCCTCACAGTGTCTAAATCGTTTCCGCATTCTTATTCCACTGTTGATAACTATGTTTTTTAAACATTATACCTACGGTAGTTAGAAAATTGCTGCATCATTAAGTGGTACCTAACACCTCATGCTACAGGATCTAACCTAAAATCACTTCGAAGACGTTGCTGAACTTAGCAATTATTTTTGTTCGTGTTTTTGTAAAGCATGTCGTGATCTCATAAAACTACAGGATTACTGTAGTTAAAGTCGAATCAGCAAATATTTAGTATTCCATTCACACTTTGCAACGGCTAAAGTGTATTAAAATTCGAAAGAGGACAAACGTTTCGTGTTTAAATTTCAAGAGAACACTTGATGTTAATTATACAAAACACACCCAGCGTTTGGACGCATTTTGACGATTTTGTCATTTGGTTTTTGTTATTTTTTATTACACCTATAAAAAGGAACGCAGTATTGGGTAGCACTTGTGCTTTCTGCTATAGGTATAACTACAGAACAAAGTTAAAGGATTTTAGGTGTTATCGGCGAATGATGAGGATAAAGGTTAGAAATTAAGAGATATTAGAAAAAATAGGAGAACAGAGGACTCAATGGACGTCAATAAAAAATAGGCGAGATATGTTGATAGGACACCTTCTCAGGCATGAAGGTCTATCAGACCCATATTATAGGTAGAAATGGGAGTTAGGAGGGGTAGAGGTAGACTTAGATTAGATTACTGTTAGCAAATAGTTAAGGATGTGGGATGTCCTAGTTTTAGGGAAATGCAAAGTTTAAATCAGGATAGGAAAGAGTGGAGGTGCGTAAAAGTCTTAGGACTGACGACCTTATGGTGATGATGAAGCTAAGAAACCAAATGACTAATCCTAATTTAGAGTCAAGTCTTAAACTAAAAACTACTAGTTATATACCGGTTAAACCAAAACGTTATAGAAAAAACGGGAGGTAGGAGAGGTAAAGGTAGATCTAGATTAGATTACTGTTCGCAAATAGATAGAAGAAGGATGTGAGTTGTTTTAGTTTTAGGGAAATGCGAAAATTAGCTCAGGATAGGAAGGAGTGGAGGTGCGTGTCCAACCAATCTTAGGACTGACGATCTTATGATGAAGAACCTTAGATTATAAGTTTACTAAAATAACAGTTAAATATTATAAATTCGGGTTCACTTTATATTGTGTATTGTGGTAGTTTTCTTTGAATTTTCTTCTTTTTATTCCCTTGTTCTCTAACAACGATATTTCCATTTCTCTTACCCGAATTCTTACTCAATATTTGAGTATTTGGTAATAACATATTTCGGTTCATTTTTCCAATATGGCGGCTAAAGGCAGTTTTACACTGCCAAGAAAAGACAATTATTAAGGGATACTGACTGCTGGGAACAAGAAATTATGGGCATGATACCATAAATTGTTTTTCATTTGAATTTTTATTAATTTTCTTTGGAGCAGCAATAATAAATAATCAAAGGCTGGGGTTCAGTTTACAATTATAGCAGGAAAAGACAAAATTCAACGTTGTACTTATACCGTCTGAAATCATGATTTGAAATTGTAAGGGTTAATAACAATGGCGATATGACTGTAATATACGTGAAACCGATGTCTTCGAAACAAAAATTAAAAAGTTTTACGGTAGAGCAGACGTTTCTTTTTAACTCTATTGGAACATACTCGTAACAGTTTGCATTTAAGAAGTTCATATTATTGAAGTTTGACTATACATATAATCTCTTAAAATTAATTATAAACCCAGCATGTAATGCTGTGACGCTCTAATTAATTACTGTAAAATTCGTTATTGTTCCGGGCGTATTGCAACATGATGGCACCGTGAAAAAAAGTTTATTTAGGTTTGTTCGAATTTAGCAAACTTGCCGTTAGAATTCTTCGATTTAGTTGCACAGTTGAGTATAACATTAAGAAAAAGTGATTCACTATTAACAACGACATGTTGAGGTCAACTTCCGCTTAAAATGGATTAGACTGTGACCTCCATGCGGTTAAAATATCTTCTGTATGCGAGTCAAGAAGACATTTCTAGTTGCACGTTGCACATGCAATTAATGCTGTTAGTAACAATGGCAAAATTCATCACATAAAAAAAAATAAAGTACCAACTATAGATGGGCGCTTTAAACTGCAATAATGTGTAGAAATTTCGTTTTTTGCAAGTTCAAATTCCGGAGATTGAGAGAAGGTGACATTTTTGGTACTTGCAGTCTTCATTGTAAATTTTCTTTTTTTCGAACTTTTGGTTTTGGTAGATAATATTTTGGGGCACTTACTTCTTTATAATTCCACACTTTTTTTCTAAAACTAGCAAGGTCTAGTGCCAAATATTAACTCTTTTATATTCGAGACGACGAGAGAAACACCCTGTACAATGGCCATTAATTAGCATAATAAATCGCGACTGGCGATATCCTTGAGCTCCCTAGCGATTTTCATTTTTTTTTTCTTGCAGAATTTTCTTCGTTGGTAAGTCGAAAACAAAAACACAGCCGCCATGGACGCGATCAAGAAGAAAATGCAAGCTATGAAGCTTGAAAAAGACAACGCTTTAGATCGCGCAGCGTACAACGAGCAGCTGGCCAAAGATGCTAATCTACGCGCTGAAAAGGTAATTTGTTTTGATTAATTAATTGTACAGATAACTGGTGTGGGCTGTACGAGAAAGGTGTATTGTAATAATCAATAAATAATTAATTATCCACATTTGCATATCGCTAAATCTATTAGATACTGTTGCAATGTTGATCAATGCTGACGTAAATGATTACCATGTTTGATTTTCAAAATTGTGTAAAAATATTTTTAGAACAAAACCATGCAAATGTAAGAGAAACGGAATAATTTTATTTAGTTGCTTAATAAAAAAGAAAAATCACTTTAATACAAGATAGACAACCTGAGATCTAGATAAAATTGGGTCTTCCTGGAGTAAGATTTCACTGAAAAGCGTCCCAAAGGAACACTACATTTTTGGCCGGAATACCCCAAATTGTGCAATAAATTCAGGTAGCTCATCTCGGACGACAAAGATGCATTAGAATGATTTTTCTTCTCTAATTACAAGCTTATAAAAGGCAATCCACCTATCGTAGGAATTTTTATTACCTACATTTAGTTGTCCATTGTTTTGTGTTGATCCGTATAATTAATTAACAAGTGTGTTACAACATAATTAAAGGTCACTTATATGTTATAAGTTGTACGTACTTGTTTCAGGCCGAAGAAGAAGCCCGCTCTCTCCAGAAAAAGATCCAACAGATTGAGAACGACCTTGACCAAACCCAAGAACAACTGACTCAGGTCAACACCAAACTTGAAGAGAAAGATAAGGCTTTGCAAAATGTGAGTAGATTTATTCTTGAACCTGTTTTTACCATAGTTATACCATACGAGTTTTATAATGCATAAATTTTCGACAAGTGAATGTAAAAGTTAAGAAAGATTTGTTCTCAGACATGAATTGTGACGTAATGTTGTCGAAATAATCAATAATATTACTTTTTATTGTAGCAGATTGATTATTGATAACAAATTGCATAAAATTCAATTAAATTAATGATAATAACACGAGTGACAAATTTGTAATTTAATTCGTTTTAAGAAGGAAAAACTATTTATTTATTCCTTTTAAATGTAACAATTTTAGCGACAAAATAGAATGTTTCTTTATCTTGATGATCTAATTTAGATTCAACAAAATAAACAACGTTGGTTTTAGTCTTTATTCAATTGTTTAATGTTTGACAGAAGTGATTTAAGAAACGACATTTTGTAACCTATTTTCTACGTAAATGATACGTAATGTACAAAAATATTGTTCTCTTCATTTGTGGAACATGTAATTTTAACAATTGACACAGTTCCATTGCTCAAACTGTTCTACAGTGACGGATATTGAGTAAAAACGTATTTTGGGTCGATTTTTTCCAATATGGCGGTTAAAGGCAGTTTTACACTGCCTGGAAAGGGCATGCAATTTGTTTGACGTATGTCAAACTTTAAAGACTAAGTGATACAGAGAACTATGGTGGGACAACACTTATTTTACCTAATTAATGATTAGCAAAGATTCACAAAATTCTCTCTTTATTGGTGTCATCCTATTTTAAGATGTAGTTGTGGTTTTGAATGATGATAGCATAATGGTTATTAATAAATGGAATATTTTGCGTGGGTGGTCCAAATAACATAATAACACAATGTTGTATGTACAATTTAATAACGGTCCAGAGCTTCACGTGGTCGGTTACGTGTAGATACCATTAGGATTAAATGAACACCGTAATACAGATATTATGAGACGAGAGAGAGAAAATCGTACACACAGAGCATAAATAAGCGACGCGATAATCCTATTAATAGTAATCCAGACCACTGCCAAATATGGGCCGCGATCCAGGACGCTAGTTCCCGTGACGTCAAGCGGGATACTGGCCATGATTTGTCTGCCAAGAATTCGCACTCCCCGGAACTCCTTGCCAATACAACTTACATACATCAACTTTTTTATTCTACCGTAATTTTTCTTGATTGTTTTTGTAATTTACTCAACAACTACAGTACTAAAAAACAATGTCTCGAATGCGACGTAGGAGATTTCCTTTTTGATTCGTTGAAATTGCACGAGTTTGTTTCGGTCCCCGTTTTGTAGAGTTGGTTGCCTGTTGAAGCATGTTTGAAGCGAATGTTATAAACGAGACACGTGCGCAATCTCGAAGTGAAACTTGGCTTGATCGCCGTACAGTAGCGCCAGTTTGCAACATGGCAGCGAAGGATGATAAGCGTTCGTTTCGACAGTGAGCATGTCCCAAAGAGTCGGCTCGGGGAACACAAGAAAACGAGGACATCAACACCACCCCCGTAACGATGGCACGCGACGACGTGCTTACCTGGAGCCGACTCATGCCTCCAGGGATGACATCGAATACTTGAGTCGTCTGTCCTCGTCAAGTCAACAACAAAAAAGTAACATCCAAAAAAACACCCCCGTGGCTGTGATATCAAGTGCCTCTAGTAACCAAAACAGTGCAGCGAATAGTAAAGTAAACGAAAACGTTGCAACCAGCACCGACCAAGTTGTTAGTGATATTATAGATCTTACAAATTGTGATGACGAAATAGTTGTTAGAAGTAATGCAGATAATGTTAGTGTTAAGGAGGAAGAAGCAGCTGATACAATTTCATCACGTTCTGCAACGAAGGTTACCACAACAGATGATCAGCAAACAAGTGCATCTGATGAGCATGCCAAGAAATCGAGGGATTTCAAAGGCAGTAAAAATGGTCGGAACAATAATACTAAAACCAAGCAGAAGCAAAAAGAGCACATCAAAGATGAAAACGTCCAAGACATGTCGCTGATCGATAGACCAGCGGCCGAAGGATCAAGCGATCAAGAAGGCGATGATCCAGAGATCGAGGAGTTGTCAAGGCTCCGATGTACTTCAGAAAGGGCCGAAGTCGTTGCAGAAAGAGAAACTAGGAAACGAAATCGACGATGTGCCGATTATCCAGGTCTGGCCTTTGGCAGTTCCATATTCAGCTCCGACACCTTGATGAAGTTTTCCATCATTCGCAACGAGCTCCACAATATTATGAACACGCAGTTGAAAAGGGTATGTTAGCTTAGAGCAATCATCCTTCATTAACATCTCCATCAGGCAGGGACTGTTCTCTTTTGTTTGTCTCCGAAAGCATCGTGGTGACGATGTTTTCAAACATCAGCTGTTGTTTCGGCCACGTGATATTTCAGAGGGGATGCATGTAAGCGACAACAGTCAGTTACGACGTTGCCTTCTGGTCTATTAATACACTAGGTGTACGGAATTTCACTCTCGGAATTAATTGTTCTGCTTCTATATCCGATTGCTTCCGCGTGGTGATATGCCTCCTTTTCTTGACGGATGTTTACGAACGCTAGGTCTATGTATAACAAATGTTCACTTGTCTGGGAAGATTTATTTTGTTTGTTCATAGTTTAGATACACAGTTAATACAAAGTTTAAAGGTTTCTCGATGAAATGAGATCGTAGGGTGATGTCAACTGTTTCTTCGTTCTTATCAAGTGACATGTTTGTCTCAGATAGAATGGAATTCGTTATGTTGATGGAAAATTTCATTCGTTTCTCTCTGTTTCCTTCAAATTACGATTAGTTAGTCTAGAATAGGACAAGCAATGGGTCTTGTGGCCTTTGTTCCTGGCTTATCAAATTAGTAAACAAGTCGCGTATGTTAAGGTGCCTTACTTATGCTCTTAAGTTTTATTACATTACAATGCTTTTGTAAACATGTCCTTTATGAACCCATTGTCTGTATTTCCTTGGAACATTCTGTTCTATTCTGTTATTATTTGTCGAATAGGTAATGAACCGTTTTTTCGATGAAAAACAGTATGTATGGTGTTGTGACGAACGACGTGAGACATGACAAGGAGACGTGTCTCTTTAGAAAGCATTCGGGTGCAACGTCGACTTGTTAGTCATGTGTTTCTCTTTCTTGCTCTTGCTTTCCAATGGCTTCATGTACACACGTACGTATGTGGTATACTTGTGTGGGTTTATGTATGCACATAATGTACTCGACTGTCTGACAAGGTTTCGTGGAGGAAAGGTCGGATGTCATTCAAATGTGGGCAGTGGAGTCAGCGTTATCAAAGAAAAAGGAGGACGCGCTTGAGATTGCTTATTTGGGCATTTGGGCAAATTGATTTACAAAGGCAACAAACTTAAAATTGTACAAATGTATTAAAAATCGTCTTTAAATACCGTAGATTAATTAACTCCACTAACCCTGTCATTAGATGTAGTCTACTATTACTTATTAATGATCAGATTATAATAAGAAGCTGGATTATAACAATAATCTTTTACCTGGTCTAAGAAGATACGTATTCGAAGAAGAATGCCTGTTCATAGCACTTGAAGGATTGACGAGTGAAGGAAAAATGAATGAAAGAGATATCTACGTTCTGCGGGTACTTTTAACGGTACTTCGGTTTGACACACTTGATTACTTTAGAAGTTGCAATAATTGGAATTTACTCGGAAAAGTACCTATTGTTAATTTATCGAATATGGCCGAATTAGAGTTAATGGCAAATTAATTAATGTTTGATACCACGTTAGTATGTAGGTTTGTTGAAGTATTTGCTATACGAGCAGCCCTAGAAATGACGTTTGTAATAAGGAATGCCGGTATACATCAAGGCCACATTATTTTCTTAGCCAACTGTGCATGTATTCATCTAGCCATCCACAAAACCGGGAGGGATTGTAATAATAATTGTAGGTCAACCTCTGCGAGTTCGTTGATTGTTATGGCATCGTGCGGGTATCATGATTCATGAGAAAATAAAACTTGGTTCGCAAATGGAATGAACATTATTACTTAAATTTGCTTCTTTAACAATAACCGTTGCTGTATTGTTATAAATAAACGAAAATCGGCGTAAACAATGACAAAATTTTCAAACGGCCCGACGCTCGCGCCCATATTTTCAAACGGAAGCGTTTGAATGGCAGGTGGTCGACGAAGTGTGCTCATGCGCTGCGCCATCTTTGCTCCGCCGGCTCGCCCAGTTACTGTCGTTCTGCTAGTTGGTCGTGTTGTTGCGGGTGTTTTGTGAGAGCCAGGTGTTTGTGTGAATAAAATATCGGTTAGAAAATATGACGACGACAATTCCTCAGGGTTCCCTTTTGGACGTGCTCAAAAAGAAAATGCGTCAAACTAAGGAAGAAATGGAGCGGTACAAGGACGAATGCGAGGAATATCACAAACGGCTTCAGAACGAAATTATGCGGCGAGAAGAAGTAAGATTCTATATATTGAGTTGTGTCACGTTTAGAACTCATGTTTCCTGTGAGATAGGGCGTTACATCCCCTTAATTATCTACGAGTAGTCGGTCATCCGGGGCTGGTGGACCACGATTTGAAAAAAGTGGCCATTTTTATAAGCATAGGTAGAAAAAAAACCGTTTTTGATGATAGCGTGCAAGGTTGCAGACATCTCGTTTCTCGTCCATTGCCCCTCTATTGATTCACGAAGATGACGTGAAACATTCCGTTTTTTTTTTTTATTAATTTCGTGTAGTAGGTATACGAATACCAAGAATTGGTACTGAATCATTTTTGCCAAGAAAATGCGAAATTCACATCTGTTCCCCAAAGGCTTCAAAACTAGTACTAAAACTACTTCTTTTGACTCCAACTTCTTTGAGCGTTTGATTGATCAAGGAAGTCTACTAATGGACATGGATAGGTACCATTTTTCTTTTTACTGACTGATAACAACTGACTTGTAAAAGAGATCACTTTAGATAAGATGTAGAAAAAGATAATCAAACAAATACCTACGTAATTATACTGAAACGAGTGTTTTTTTTCCATAACTGGAAATATTAAATTAAATATTATGGGTATTAGTGATATGGGTTTAAATAGAAATGCAATATCAAATCTATTTTCTTTAATCCACCATGACGTATATGTCACATTGGATAAAGTGTTCTATTCGGGTCAGAAATTACGACGATAAACAGTAATCGCGGTTTAATTAGTTGTCATTTTTTCCACAAATGTCGAATATCGACTCCAGAAGTCGTAGATAGGCAATAATTGCGAAACTCCTTAAAGTTTTGGTCGATATCCAATATGTCATTTATTGTTGGTCTTCTTCATTGGAGTCGCTTTTGTTTACCATTTATCTAATTGCTATTTAAATCGACTTGACAATAAGGCGGGTTACCTACGTAAGCGTAAGCTTTCTAAACGACAAGAACAATATTTTACAATGCGGAAATGTTCGGGGATTCCGTTTTTATTTCGTCCCAATAACAATAAAAGCTGATGGTATTGACCACTAAGTACATAACTGTACAATAGGTAGCAAAATTGATTTGTAATTGATCATTGCTTTGTCGATTTTAGTGCGTAGGTTTATAATAAAATAATGGTACCATGCGAAAAATTACAACCGGTCCATAGACCGGAAGTTACTTAACCCATGCTTCCTTCCGTCTCTTTCGTTACGCTTGGTGAACTATTGCTCCACTATGCAGTTTCATCTAATGAAGTTCCGATTCCAACTTAATAATAATCGTTGTTTATATATTAGATACTGGGTTTAACCCGCGGGTTCAGTCGCCTTGATGTCCTAAATACGTTTCAAAGATTATCCGCGACCAAATTAAACTTATTTTTTTTTCTATCCCTCAGGAACATATTTTTATCTGGATAAAAGGTACCCTATGTCTTTTTCTGTACCCTTGACAATTTGTGTACAAAATTTCATGATTATCGGTTGAGTTGTTAAGGCGTGAAAGAGTAACATACAAACACATTCGCAGTAAAGATGAACAACTAACTAGGAAGTGCAAAAGCATGATGATCGTACATTCCTGTTATTATTTAATTAATAATTGCATAAATTTTAACGAACCAGTTGACGTAATATGATAAGGTATAGGATTCTTAGCAATGCTAAATATAGTAGTTAAATCATACAGTAATGGCAAAGAGCGATTGCCAATGAAAAGTTATTCCTTAATTATGAGTATAATTATGGTGTATATGATATGTCACTTAGACAGAGTCACTGTAGCAAATTTGATAAAAATTTGCAAACACACAAATGTATAAATGATGAGAAGGATCTTTCTTTCAAAACTAATTTTCTGTAGATCAACAACTTCTAGATATTTCCATCATTTCGCGTAATATGTACACAAAAAAACGTAGATATTTGCGATAGGGAATGTTTGAAATGAATGATTTGCGAGTAAATACGGAATGATACTTTCATTGTTTCTAAATTGATATTTCATTTAAAAATGTTGACGGTCTGCTTTTGGATCAATTTTGAAAATAGAACGTACCAATTAAAAGGTGGAAAGATGCACCTAATATGCTCACGAAACTTATTGAAGACACCAGTTTTCTGTAAAATCATTTTTCATTGTTTTGAGAACAGAGGAGTCTATGGAAGTCTAAAAGAAATAGACGGGATAGGTTAGTAGGACACTTTCTCATACATGAAGGTCTAGTCAGAGACAGATTAAAGGCAGAAACAGGAGTTAAGACGAATGGAGGTAGACCTAGATTAGATTACTGTTCGTAAATAGTTAAGGATGTAGGTTGTTCTAGTTTTAGGGAAATCCGAAGATTAGCTCAGGATAGGAAAGAGTGGAGGTGCGTGTCCAACCAGTCTTAGGACTGATGATGATGAAGATAATGATTTAACTCATCAGGATTTTTTTGGCGTAGTGAAAATTAAGAAGGACAATATAACCTCTTGATGAGTATATTGGAAATCTGATCTTGTTATTATTATTTACTGACCAAGAGTTCTTAGGTTTGGTTTACGTGCTGTTCATGTCGTTTCAATTGGACATGTGTTAGATATGCCATTAAGATCCTTGTCTAATATGTAAAGTAGTTCAGTTATATTAAAAATTAACAATAATTTTCTTTTGTTTCAGGCGGAATCGGAGGTGGCAGCTCTCAACCGTCGTATTCAACTGTTGGAAGAAGATTTAGAACGTTCTGAAGAGCGCCTTGCCACCGCGACCGCTAAACTCGCCGAAGCTTCAGCCGCGGCCGACGAAAGTGAACGGTTAGTTTTTGAAAACTTAAAAAAGTTTCCATTTTGTTCACAAAAGAACGAACGAGTGTAAAGTCGTTATTGCCACTTTTCCCAAAGGCTCGAGTTTGATCACTGTGGGTATGAAACTCTGACCGTCATTTGTTAGGATGAGTTGAGTTTACGTGTTTTTCCAAGTTATCTGACGCTTCCGTGTATCAATTTGGAAAAAACGCTTCGAATAATCTTTTGCGTGATCATGAGCGGCGTACCTACCTCAAGTTTGAATTCCAACCATGTACAATCATTTCTATACCCTCTTATCTCACTTTGCGTTTGTTTTATCGCTTATCTCTGCTTACAAGGTATTACATACGCATAACATGCCTGAACATGGCAGGTAAAATACCAATATTCGATCAGGAATGCAAGTAAAGACATTTCTTAGAATCAGTTGTACTATCTAGTTTCACAATATCGGGATAGTATACAATAAAAATAAACAATTCACTATTTTAGCAATAGTGTAGTGGATCAGAGACCTATTTCCTTTTTTTTTTCAAATTAAATCAGGATGACGTAAAAATATCTAAATCTAATCAAACGTACAAAAACAAGGAAAGTTACAATGATGGTGGAGGCCGAAACGTCTCTCTTCTTTTTCGTTTAAACGTTTATCTTTTACTATTGTCCATTAAAGTTTCCACGGCAAAATAATTACCTGCGTGTTATTCCTTGGTTGGTTTATAGACATAGCTGCTGTATGACGTAATCACAGTTTTTGTAGTTCTATAATGTTCGGATGATTTAATAACTAGATCGTTTTGCTTTAATAGCCTAAACAGTATGAATACCAGATGACGCCCATAAGAATAAACAGCAAATTTGGGATTGTTCTCTGCAAACGAAGGTCGAAATCCTTGTATGTAATTCAGCCATATAATATCGTTACGTCACTCTTAATTAATTGAAAGAATATCCAACAGATTTTAATTACTAATTTAAACGAATAATTTTTTTATTACCAGCTATTTAAACATTCTATTTTGTTAGGGTTTCGTTTAAAAAATTTCTAATTTTAGCAAAATAAGATTAGGTAGTTTTTGTATAAAACGTTGAACTTATTTGGTTACTTAACATATAAAGTACCAATTAATGTCTGCTTCAACCACCATGCTTTTATATTGCTCTAATAACTGTTCGTTAAGCATTCAAAAACCTCTACGTCTCCGTGGAGTTCATTTAACCCTTGGAAATAACTTGTCATCATTTTTATGCAGGCCTTATAAACGCGGCTTTTCTCCCTCCTGTGTTGCTGTTGCTTGCTCTGATTCGTTCAGTCTTGCACCTGCGCCTGTAAGATCCAATAAAACGCGCACCACCCTCACCTGTTTTCATTTATAAGCGACGAAGTGGAGGGGATAGAGAAAAGTACACGTTATTACTATGATTTTATTTTTTGGTTATCAGTAGAGGGAAAAGTGGCTCTAATGCGTGTAAATGGATGTGTGCGAGTGAGACACGACGTGTTGAAACGTAACGCATTTTGCATTTAAATCATTTAGGATACGAAAAGCGTTAGAAAATAGGACCAACATGGAGGATGATAGAGTTTCCATTTTAGAAAGTCAACTAGCACAGGCAAAGTTAATAGCGGAGGAAGCTGATAAAAAATACGAAGAGGTATCTAAACAGACACTCCATATGCCTCTACCAATAATTCCGATCCAAGATCAATGGATTTTAACTGATAATTTCGAATGATAAATTTAAATATATCGTACTTCATAAAGTGAAATCCATTGATTTTGAGGATTATTTTACAATAAAGAAAAACGATTGTAAGTTAGGGCAGATAGGGTTTGTCTTTCAGGTATTTAGATTGTCATCCCTTGGAGGGTCCCATGGAGGAGGAGAATTTGCAGCAGTAATTTAAAGTTAAAAACCAAAGAAATATGATGATGATGAAATTATTTATTTTGAAGTTGTTGGTACATTTAGATTGATTTGAGTTATATTGTTTAAACGCTTGTTTTCCAAAAAAATAATTGAACATATAAATCGTGGTACTCTAAATTGAGGGTGTCTTCGTAAAAATCGTCACATTTTAAAAGAGTAAGGGTCGATTCTTACCATAAATTCCGAGATTAAAAGGGTGCTATAATTGGATATGTATTGCAATAAGAAAGGAAGAGCGAGGTAAACTTTCGTGATATCACATAATTTGAATTTCCACATAAAATCTGTATTCATCATGAAATTATTTATTGTTTATTTAATAGTGTTATCCAAAAATGTGCCCAAAATTTGTTCGTTTTAATATCGAAAATTTACAAGCATTTTTTTCTGTTTTATACATAAATCGAGGGAAGTATAATTTTTAATAGACTACGCTGTAATCTTCTAATTTTAATTCCGATTACGAAACTGCATTCACTATGAAACTCCTTAAAGTTTTTCGTATAATTATATAGTAAATTTGTTTAAAATTTTAGTAGAAGTTACATGTAGTCAGTCCTTAACTTTGATATTTGTTTAAGATAGTATCGTTCTCATTTTTTTACTAATTAATTTACATAAGTATATTATTATTTCTTTGGTTTTTAGCTTATTGTGACCGTAAATAATTTATAACATTATATTTTCCTCTTGTGTAAACGTTTTATTTCTGTAGTGCCCGAAAAATACTTGAAAACCGTTCTCTGGCGGATGAAGAGCGTATGGACGCTTTAGAGAACCAGCTGAAAGAGGCCCGTTTCTTAGCTGAAGAAGCCGACAAAAAATACGATGAGGTCAAATCCGAAACGTAGCGTTTAATTTAATTTTTTGCGTGTTGTGTCACTAATAACAAAACCCACCAAAATCCGTTATGTTATCACATATATATGAGAGTGCCTTCAAAGTGTGCAAATATAAAAAAAAAACACCTAACCCATGAACCTAAACAAATACGCACCCATGGAACTCTCTACCTCATCCATCGAACGAGAGGGTAGACAAAATCAATGCATAAATCGATAATTATGTGCGGTGATGTTCGATCGTGAATCGTCTTCATGGGTAGTGCACGTAGTAGTGATGATGGTCTTTTTAATAAGTGAGTGACGAAACGGGGTGGAGGGCGTTGGCTTCGTTATGCAGTGATGTAATGGGGAAAATATTTTTAAAACCACCTTTTAGTGAAACACAGTGGCATAACATGATGTTAAATTGTCATGGTACCTTTTATGATGGTACTCAACGTACAGTGCGTTATTGTTTGTTGGTCGTCCAGGGTTTAATGTGCTAAGTCATCTGAAGTTCGCTTGGTTTTTGTAATAAAATCAGAGACCGGTTGACAAAAACTTGTTCTCACCGTAGTAGTACTAAACTTTGTCCGTGGTACAAATCAAGGTGCTGTTATGTTATATTGTCGTATGGTAACGGGTTTATTACCATGATACGTGATCGTTTAGAAATAATCTTACGGGGGTTTTATTGGATATAATACAAATAGAAACTTGATTAGTTTTTATGGGTTCAACTAGATGTTGTATAATAATTATTATAGAAAAATACTTACAGGGTTGCTAAAATCGTTAATAATAATTTTTAGTAATTTTATAAACGCATTAGAG